ATTTCAATTATCATGATTTCAGATAAATGTTGCTGTCTCCTGGAACCTAAATCCAACAAGGTCCAAGCAATGTGAGGACAGCGACTCTACAGTATGAGGTAGGTTTGATTTAGTTGTCAGTGTGAGCCATTTGTCAGATAACTTGGGGTCCAACACATGCTGCGTCTCTTTGAGTTACATTAGTCAGGGGTCCACTGTCATACACCATCATGTAATTGGAGCAGTTGTAAAGGTTACTGTATGGAGGTGAAAGAAGTTGTCTTGTCATTGAAGAGTTAGGAGGGTGCTGGGCTTACTCTAAATTGGTTGAACGCAGTTTTGAGCAAAAAGGTTTTAACACAGCTGTGATTGTTCTCACTTGTGTGCCAAAAATTAGATGGATGACTCTCACACAAATGTACAATATACTGAAACTACATCTGGGGAAAGAGGAAAGATTCAGTGAAATAGTGCAATCACATCTCTGAATATGTAGAATATGTCCAATATATGCACCCGACAAAATCACATTTCTGTATTAAGAAAGTTAACAGGACATCTATTTGTGTTATTTACTCAGTTTGTGAGAATAAATGTTGAGGTTAATACTACAAGCTGTATTACTACTCTTGTGCAGAAGACTTTGTAAAGATTGTTGGTCATTATTATTATCACACATTTCTATCACACATTTCTATCACACATTTTGAGTTAACCTCCGGCACTAGAGCTGTACCATTAAGGCTGAAAAGATCAGTGTCATTAGTCGATGATGTTTCTAAAATTGGGTAAGTTAACTTTAGGAATTTTTATTGATGTCCCACAAGGAAGACAAATTAAAAGAATGTTTGTAAAAATTTGTCTTGGTTGAGTGCCAAACAAATTGAATAAATTGTTATTGTAATAAACGTGTTCAAATTCTTTCTTTACAAGTTCTCGTTTAGGATCACCTAACATTTAGAGTGCTGCATCTATCCGATTACGCCCGCTCAATGTAATGAGATAGGCGTCAAGATACTGAGAATGACGGGAGGTCAGAGGTTAGGAAGTGTGGTGTAATGGGGTAGGGTGGGAGTTTTGAGGCACAAGACAATTGCTAATGGTTTAGTAAAAATGAATCCTGAGTGTGTTTCTCGGGGATCATATAAAAAAGATGCAATCAACTACTAACTGTTTTCTTTTGACTATTCAGTACAACAGGCACCAGCTTTTTTCTAGGTCATGGTCCATTACTGGCACATGACAGACAACCAGTCTCGTTGCTCTCTCCCTCCCTCTGTGATAGATATTCCTGTTTTACAGTAGGAGCTGTTTATTTAAACCAAACTAATTCATCCAGTTAATACTTACAGCTCAATTGTAGTATTGAATTAATCCATTTCCAGAATGTACCTCACACGCTTTTACAGGCTTCAGTAAGAATCATTGTCTGAGCCATGCAGGTTTATTTCTTTGCATATACACACAGTGACTGAGTTGAGCTCATCGTTAGCGAGGTGGCCTTACCAAACGTTAATCTGAGGCCGAATCCCACAATTTAATTTATCATTATATTATTTTATTTGCAAAGTGTTGAATTAACAAGATAATTTAAGCAGCATCCACCTGGTCTGTCTCCTACAGAGCCCCTTGAAGTCTCAAAAGATTTTTTTTTTTATCTAGTGCATGCAAGTTGTTATCATGTGGGAACAAGTTATTATAGCACAAGATATTTATTTGTGGGTGTTTGTGTTTTAATCACTCAGATGCACACGTAGAGAAAACTCATCTTATCTAGTTTTATTTTCACCTGCATGTCACCCAATGAAATAAAAACGTCTTAATATATATAAACTCACAATTAGTGCAAAATGTATGTATCTTGTGCACACAAGATATTTTGAGTTGTGCACACTAGTTAAACATCTCGGTTTTACTAGATCATTATTTTTTGCGCAAAAAATAAAAAAATTGCGCACTAATTGTGAGTTAATAAAGACGTGATGTCTCACTCTGTTGCGGATATAGTCAACGGCAGAGTTGCTATGTAAAAGCGAAACCAAAAGTAATCTCCCTTAGTTTCGTTTTTCAAGAAGCAGCTACTGTGGCTGCAGGGAGATGCGGTGGACGACAACAGCTGCTGGTAAGTGCTGATTTTTCAATACTTTACTGCTGTGAACAGAGAAAACACAAATGAGTCGATTTGCTCAGCGTGACTCGTGTTTGTGCAGATTTACGGTGGAAACACTGCCCCGACTCCGTGTCCTTAAGTGACCCCAGCTCTCAGGCGCTTCGGGGACACAATGGTGGAGATCCGCAGAAAACAGACACAGCACCACCTCATTGAGTTTTCCCAGGGAAACATTTCCACCCAAGAAACGAGCAGTTCAGTGAAATAATGAAATAATGTGCCCACCACATTAAAGAAACTCAGGATACACGGGGTCACAACCACTGCGCAGACCCACATGTGATGTCAGAACACACACACACACACATATAGCATGATAAAGTACGATAAGAGCTATCTTATTAATATGTATGGTTAATATAATGCGTACAAATACCATTAGTGTGATATGAGTCTATTTCTTTAAGGCAAATTATGTGTAGACTGTGCACTAGGGTCTTCAGAAAGTAAATAACTCCACCAAATCCATTGTGCAAACTGTGAAATGTGTGTGTGTGTTTTAATGACTTGAGGGAGATTCTTCCATCCACTCACGGAGAATGTTGAAGTATATTCAAATTACCTCATAAAGTTCAAGGTAATGGTTCCCTTTTGAGGAAGTGTTTTCTGTCACATGGAGAGGTTGTGAATGAGTCAAATAACGTCAGAGAGATTTAATTCAATATATTGTGTGTTTAATGTATGAGTTTTACTTTATTTGAGCATTAAACTCATGTAATAAAGTGACGTGGAACTTAAATGTGTAATTGAGTCATAAAGTCAACATTTTAGGAAAAAAAAAAAAAGTCAAGCAAATTGTGTGTCAACTTGTTTGTGTGCTTGTGTCTTTGTTTCTTTGTTTTGTGCGTCAGCTGATGGAGTCTGACCATGGATGAGGACCTCAGCCCTGACGATGAAAATGTAAACCTCGTCTTGGCTCAGGAATCCTCCGAACTGTTCCACATCCTCATCAGTCAGTCGTCCACCATCATAATGCAGTTGTGCCAAATGATGCCCGGTGGCACGATGGACCCCCCTCGCTCCTCTGCAGCAATTATCAAAGATGTGTTGGAGTATTTCAGCATGGCCGAACCTGCAGATTGCCGCAACTTCCTCCAAAGCATGTGCATCCTGTGTGAGAATATCCCCATGCGCCTGGAATCAAGGCTAATGTCCGCAGCCGGATATTCAAACAGTGAGTATTAAATGAAGCTGCAAATGTTAACAGTCGCTCAGTAAACAGTGCACCCAGCTACCGCACCGTGCAGTTAATGTATTCTTGTCCTTTAGCCTCTCGTATGTATTTACTCTAAAGTCATAGATGAAGTGGAATAATTCATGTTAAGTGATATCACACAGTTACAGAAACCGACTAACACTGTGATTTTTTATTGAACTGTTCTGATGATAATATGAAAACTCTTTTTCTGTTGTTTCACTTGGGGAAACCCCAACAATTCCCTGTTTTCAATTTGTAGATGATTTAAAACTGAAAGTTAGAGTCTAAGAGTACGAAACATGCCCGACTCTTGCAGTGCAGAATTCTTTTTGTATTTCTTTTGTAGTATTGCTCTGTATTTTAAGTATTGTGTGCCTTGTATGTGTTTTTCTGCACTGTAGATGTTTGTGAGAATTCCAGACCCAGTGTAACGAATGAAGAGCCGCCATCGTTGCATTCCGAGCCGCAGCTTATCAAACGCCCACGGATTGGTAGAACATTCACACTGCACCTCAGCCTTGTTCCATTACAGCTACACCCACAACACATTCACAAACTAACCTGGCAAAGTGTCACTGATTGATTGAAATCCATGGAATTATATAGAGGATTAAATATGGTGTAGCAGAACCAGCTGCGTTGTCAGTTTGTCATAGTGGAAATTATTGTACTGTAATAAAAAAACACCTGTACCTCAAAAAGCATTTATCTCAAAGACAGACGTTTGTGAATTGTTAAACTTGTGTTTTCTCAACATTAAGTCTAAGTAATGGAGACAGGAAATGAGCTGTGTCATGAGCTGCCACCAAAATTAGGACGTAACCATAAAACTGTAACCTGAGTTTGGTCAGACAGTAAAAACCGAAAGAGAAAGTTGTGGTGGTGTTTTCATACCACAGTTTGTTAGCTGCACCAGTAAAACAAGGCATGTTAACTATGTTTCTTTTACTGGCTATTAAATGACTAGGGTCAACCAGATCTGCTCTGTGTACATTTACTGTTAAATTACCCTGCAGATTTTTGTTGGATAAGTATTTTGGAGTCAAAGAAAACTTGTCCGTTGATGAGGTCCTTATTTTCTATAAAATGGTAGACTGTAATGTTATGAGAAGAATGCCTCAACCATGATTTTCTCTTAAGACGGGCTAAATGTTTGAGTGGGGGGGAGGTTCTGTACATGCAGGTCCTTGTCCTTCTTCGTCCGGTTTAAGAGCTCACCAGCACATCATCAGATCATCCCATAGATATAGTAGAAGAATGACAGGAGATAGAAAGCCAGTTTGTACCAGCCCTCTTTTTGACAGTACGCCAGGATGTCAGCATTCATGATGGTTGTTGGGTCGTAGAGTCCTGGGCAGCTCATCACAGGTCAGCTCATATACCTCCAAACATGATAAGCCAGCAGCGGCAGGTTGAGACATCCTCAAATACACAACCCTGACATTTTCAAAATTAAATAATAACATTTCTTGTTCTGCGAATTTTCTTTATACTTTTGCATTTATTGTTTAAACAAAGATCTTGTTGTACTGTTTATTGAAAAGAGGACTGCAGTTTACATTTGTTCAACTTTGCACCTCAATCAAAAAGTATAATTCCCGTTTAAAGAAACTTTCCTCTGGAAATAATGTGTTTTCAATGTACTACAGACTACTGGGAGCAGTACATTGCTTCAGTGATGAGTTTAATACTGAGGAGGTGGGAGCGACTGAGTGCAGCCATTGTGAAGGAGGTCGAGCTGGAGAACGTGTGGGTCAACCTAAGGATGGTAACCAGAGGCAGGGACAGACCTGATCAGACCCCTGGACTGACAGACAGAGGGAGCAGAACACCAGGTCAGAGTGACTTCCTCTTTTATTGTTCAACAAGTATCAGATTCATTTATTTGATTATTATCTAGTTTGTATTACATTTTATTTGAAATTATACCTGCATGTATCTCGTTGAACTGAAAAAGAAATTAAAAGGATGAAAGAGGAAAAGCATTTTCTATCACTTGTAATTAAATTCTGTGGTACAATAACTAAACACATTCCCTTCACTAAACTCAGAGCCTGATGGAGATTTTGGGTCTTTGGAGTCCAGAGTGACCCTGGAGACCTTCCTCCAGGGATGTGCAGGAAAGGTGACGGTTGTCGTCGGGCCGGCTGGATCAGGAAAAACTCTGCTGACGTCTTGTATAGGTCAGCAGTGGGCACGCGGCCTTGTAAGTTAAAATACTTACGCAACATTCAGTGGAGTTCATTTTTGTAGATATTTGCATTAAGATTATGATGTGGTTTGGGCAGATTAAATTATTATTGTTAAGAGAGAGAACAATTGAGCGATTGATACTTAATTGTCAGATACGCCTGAAATGTGTTAGAGCACAGAGGCGAGAGCTTGTGCGTTGCTTAGAGTAGTGGGGTGTATCGACCAGCCGCCCCTGGACCAGAATCATTTGTTTCTTCTTTTTGACAGTTATTTTATTTTCTCTCTATGACCTTCTGCCTTATCTGTGTTTCTGTCCTTTCTTCTATCATCCAGGGCCCAATCCCTTCATCCTACCTGTTTGTCCTGTTAGAGTTTCGTCTGCTCAATCTCTTGTCCAGCCCCCTCTCCCTGTCCGAGCTGCTATTCCAACACTACCTCCCTCCAAAAGGAAGCGATGAAGAAAAGGTATGGGATGAGCCATACCAAGACAATACCTTCATAAATCAGGACTTTTATTTTTTTTAAATGACTTTTCATTTTCCCTTTATTTGACAGTTAGTGTAGAGAGACTAGAATATGGGGAATGACATGGAACCAAGCAGGCTTGGAGAAAATAATATATGCTGATGAAATTGTTGTCATGAGAAGCCATTATTTGTTAGAAAAAGGTTTTCTCTCTGGAGGACGTCTGCCAAGAGCTGCATTAGCAGATATCACTCAAACGTATGCTAAGAGATACATTACAGTTGTGGCCTCAAGGGGCCATAAGGTTAAAATCTCCAAGCAATAATCATAAACCTGAAGTCCGCTCATGCAATATCACATCCACAAACGACAAAATTCCCATAACACTAGTAAACAACACTGATTCAAACAACTGTTACTAATAAATAACAGACCCTTGTCATTGAGGTGATCTAATGCAGTTTTTCTGACCGTCTGCATATGTTCTCCGTTTGAGCAGAGAGCCGTTGTGGATTACCTCCTTTCCAACCCAGAGCAAAGCTGTTGGGTGCTCGATGGCTATGATGAGTTTGACTGCAAAGTCACCAGACAAGAGGTGCCGGGAGAACGGTTGGACCCAGGAAAACCTATGCCCGTCGCCAACCTCATCTCAGCATTATTATATCGTCAGCTTCTCCCAGGATGCACTGTGCTGGTCACCTGTCGCGTACATGGTGTCATGGATTTGGAGGACGTATCGGATAAAGTGGGGCAGCTGATGGGATGGGACTGCCATCAGATCAAGGAGCATGTGGACAACTTCTTTGGAGTAAAAGGTAAAAAAATGTTCACGCTTTTAGATTTATGAAGTTATATTTGTTATTCTGGATCATTCATACAGAGACAGATTCATGTAGGTTTACGAGGCTGGGCTTTGGGTTTTTACAAACCTGATGTGTTTTTAAACCAGTAGTGGAAGACATTCTCAAATTGTGAACATACTCAGTCTGAATGTAGTGAAATCATCCTGCTACACAATATCATTTAAACCGTCTGTCCAGTGGAGATAACGTTACGTAGCAGTCTCACATACACAGGCTGCCTGTCTCTTTCACAGAACCACACTGACAGCTCTAACACTCGTTTTATTTCTCTCTCTTTGTCGGAGCCATACAACTGCAAGACTTTTAGTGTTCTGTTCGCGACCAGATTCATTCCAATTTCAAACATTTTTTAAATATCCGGCACATCTCATCTCTGGCTCACTATCATATTTATAATTTTATTATAATTAGTGGTTATGTATATAACCCCAACACCAAGCTATTTAAGTAAGCTGCTCTCTTACTATCTTTAATTACAGTTTTACACTCTTGAGTATTAATTTGATCTGTAAACAAACACTATAAATGGTGTCCGGTTACATAAGCCTATTAAAAGTTATCCTCATGCCTTGCAAACAAAAAGTTGTAGGAAAAACAAATTGATGAAAATGTGTTTCAGGGTATGGATTGGAAAACAGAGTTTAAAGTTAGTGTGTCTGACCTTAACTTGAAATCAGACTGTACATGAGATCAGTGAACGTCAGGAAATAACAAGAATCATATCAGATGCAACAAAACTAAGAGGTGGCTCGTTCAGATGTGAATAAATCTCAGATTGAACGTACCTACACTGGTTTTTGAAGGTTTGATCAGTTACAAACATCACTGTTTCAAATGCATCTTGAGCTTCAACTAATTTCTCGCTCCTCTCCAAAGGTGACTCCATAAACAGAGCCCTTGGATTGCAGGCTGCAGACCTCCTCCTCTCCAGCCAACACCTCCTGTCCCTGTCGTACCTCCCAGCCCTCTGCAACATCTGCTGCATCTGTCTGAAGCATCTGCTGCTGGAAGATAAAGAGGAGGAAACAACAACGTCACAAGTCCTGATTCCCGCCACTCTCACTCAGGTCTACCTCAATGTTGTCTGTGCATTCCTGAGCCGAGACCTTGATGAAAGAGGAAAAACTGTCAAAGCAAAGACCACGAAATCCACAAAGTCTCTACAGAGGTGCAGACCAAGTAGAGTATTAACACTGTTTATCACCACAACCTAACACATAATATTCATTTTCCATAAAAAAGGATGCGGAAGGTGGGTGCATCTTACTGAAGTGCAAACATGGTAGTAAAGAAAAGTGTAAGAAAAGTTG